TCTCCCTCCTTTTGAATAAAAATATTGAAGCAAGGCCATCATAGTAGATTTTGCTTTCAGAAGTATTGCCTTGCAATGATGTTGCCAGGATAGAGCATGATTAAATACAATGTCCAAATAACTAAAATTCTCCACTTGTGTTATCTCACGATCTTGAATTTTCCATCTGTACTTTTTTTTTTTTTGAAAACCAAAAGTTTAGTTTTATTATAGTTTATTTTCCTGGCAATACTTAACTAGTGCCTCAGGTAGGCGTTTCAAGCCCAATCTAGTACATGAAAGAAGAACAGCATCATCTGCATATAACAAGTTTTCCTTTTGGCTAATAATAGGCATTGACCATCAAACTGAAGTGATGTAGTCTCCAGATCATTGACAGAGATATAGTATTAAATAGTGTAGGAGCCAACCTTATTTCATACCCTTGTTCATTAATATATCATTTATGTTATAAATGTTATTTCATCTATGGTGGTAATGAAGTGTTGGATCAAACCAAAACGAAAGACCTCCTTACACTGGTGTTATAATCCCACCCCCACTTCTCGGAAAATTATTATCAAAATGAAAATAAAATCACCCTGTCTTGGAATAACTATTAAGTGTTTGTTCAATCCAATGAAAGCACAATCTCTTTGCTCTGAGGTATTAATGTCCCACTGCTTTGGTGTAATATTGGAATATTTGTTTGGTCATACTGAAATCAAAAGTCCCTGTGCGTGCTTGCTGTAATACTGATCTACTGTGGTATAATAAGTGAAATAATTTAAGTGGCATTGCACACTTATTTCCAGAACATTTTGCAGACTGACTGGATTTTCTAGATTTACTGAAACTGTCTCTTTTCCCCCCTTTAGGGCAATGTTTTGCAATGACTTAAAAGAAAAGAATGAAGAAAAAATAGTTATTAAGGGAGTTGATGCAGAAACAATGCAGATTCTTTTGGACTATACATATACCAGCAAAGTGCTGATTACCAAGGAAAATGTGCAGAAAGTCCTTGAAGCTGCCAGCCTTTTTCAGGTTAGTGAGTGCTTGTAGTAAATGGAAAATATATATAGGCCCAATGCACATATAAGACTAAGCTATGAATCAATTTTATTTAACAGCTACAGTACATTTAATTCATAGCCTTTATAAGCATAGCCAATTAATGGCTGTTTACTTTACATTCTTTATAAATATTTCTATACAGGTAGTACTCATTTAGCGACCACAATTGGGACCAGCATATGGTCACTGAGTGAAGCGGTTACTAAGTGAAACCACGACAGTGCTTACAGTCTTACTTCAGCTTTCCTTTGCTTTACAGACCTGTGAAGGCTGTAAATGCAAGTATTGGTTGTAACATTACTTTTTCATCACCGTTGTAACTGCAAACAGTCGCTAAATGAGGATTACCTGTATTAACTTTTTGCAAATATTGCAAATGTACTGTACAACAAGATGAAATTTTTGAGTTATGTTTTAAGTAATCTAAATGTTACAATGAAACTTTGACTCCACTGGTTGTTCCATCTATTTTAAACATTTTATTTATTTATTTATTAAATGTGTGAACCACCAATCTGTTGGACTCGTGATTGCTTACTATATAACTTACAACAAAATGCCCATTGTAACGTTAAATAACTCTTAACCCCAATAGTAACATAGCACAAAATCACATAACAAAAACTGAAAAACTGAAACAGTAATAACAATATATGATAACACATAACTGATAATAAAATATATGATTATGGCACCCCACAAGAAAGAGGCCACTGGGTGTACCTCACCTCTGTTATTCATTGGAACTACCCACTGAGGTAGAAACAGAACCACTGCAAGACAGTGCCCCCAATCCTAACCTCTTAGGCATTCTAGGAGAATACCATGGTTAATGGTATCAAAAGCTGCCAAAAGGCCTAATAGGACCAAGAGAATGCATGACTCCCATCCACGTCCTGACAGATGTCATCTACTAGAGTGACCAATGCCCAGAACTTGGACTGGTAATCCACTTTTTGGACAGTGCTCTACAGCTGAGTCCCTAACATCTGCTTAATTATCAAACCCCACTGGATCGGGCAGGGGGGCTCTAAAGACAGGGTTCACCACAGCCTCTTCCAAGGCTGCCAGTATCTCATTGTCCTGAACCAAGGCATTCTCCTTCATTCAAGTTGTTATACACATCATGGCTGTAGGTAGGAACCAGGAGGAGCATGCATCAAGCCCACAAGTGACAAGGTCATACCAGAAAGCATTCTAAACTCTGGTCCATAGGCCAAAAAGCATCCTGATAACAGTCAAATGATCCCTAGGAAGAGTCACTTCTTTGGCAGATCTTGGACAGCAAAATGCTGAGTAAAATGGTCACAACTGCTAGGCAGGAGATCTTCTTGTTAGCCCCTCCCTATGTGGGAATATATTACCCTAGATATATGATATATGAACAGGGTACTCAGCCTACTTTCACAAGTAAGGCAAATGGATTTTTAGATCCCTTATGTTTAGCAGGGCTCATTGTCTTGTAACTACTGTATGTATACGATTGTATTTCTAAACTGTTTTTTGCATTACTGATAGCCAATTCCAACTTCTCTTGTGTAGCTCCCAAGCTGTGGAATCTCCCTGAGGAGCTCAGTTTACAGCCTGGGAACCTGCAGGAAAAGTCTCTTTCCTGCAGACCAGATAGACCAGCTTTCTGTAATTGGGGGATATCTTTAAAACGGCCCCTCCTGTTGATTTGAGTAGCTGGGCAAATTCATAGTGAGAGAGGCAGTTCTGCCCTAAGCCCTTTAGGGCTTTAAAGATCAATACTTTGAAATGTATCTGGTAGGCAACTGATAGCCAGTGCAGATCTTTCAATACAGGAACTGTGTGATTCCTGTACCTTGCATTGGTCAGCAGCTTAGCTATTGCATTGTACTGTATATCAATTGCAATTTCTGGAAGCTTTTCAGGTGCACTGCAATGATGTTACAGGTTGCAACCAAAGTGTAAATAAATGTTGCTAAGTCTGGATTACTGAGGAAGGATCACAATAGACTCACTAGCCATAATTGGGCAGACACACTCTCATCATACCTGCAAATCTAGTGATAGTGGTGGATCAAGAAATATTTCTATATTATGAAACTGCTCGTTCTGGAAGATGAAGGTGGACCTCTTTATCTGCATGTTATGTTCCAGTATATAACTATGGGTAAAAAAAATTGTGGATAATGAGCCTGTGAGCTATGTGAATTGGTGGAGGGGTGGGAGTAGTTTCCATAACTCTTGAAAATAACCCCAAAATCCTATCTCCAAATCACAGAAAAGCAGAAATAAGGATACTGTATCTCTTACCTCTTATTTCCCACTTTCCCACTGTATATTTTCCAACTTATTTTTACTATGAAGGATATAACATGCGGGGAGGAGATAACCATATAAGGCCAGAATGCTACAAATTACCAGGATTGCTAGGAAATTGGGGGTGCAGTCTGGATGTGAATTGTGCATGTGCAAAATGGGGGACAGAACAAAACATGTGAAACTGTTTATAGGTAAAAGAGATAGAAATAACAAGTTCTCTCCATATTTATTAACTGTGAATACATGAAACAGCAGATAATGTGACCATAGATAACAAAGTCCGTCTGCATAACCCCATCCAGAACAATGGTACCTTAATTCCCATATCCAACTTTTTCTTTCCCAACAGTACCTCTGCCTTCTCTGGATTGAATTTCAGTTCTACTCTCCCATCCAGCCTGTTATCAAGCTTACGCATGTTCAAGGGTGCTGATTGTTTCATGGAGTCAGTACAGTACTGAATAGTATAGTTAGATGTTATCAGCATACTGATGGCAACCTCCTCCAAAGCTCTGAATATAAATTATAAGTGGTAGATGTAGATGTTATAAAGCACAGAAGACAGGATAGAGCCATTGAGATCATAGATCAATGACCTAAGAGTCAAGCATTAGACCCCTAGTATTACCTTTTGGAGGTGCCCTGACAGGAGGTTCACTCTCAGTCAGGAAAACTGGTTGGGTCAGTTTACAGTACATATTAGGGCACCCTTCTGGTAGCCAGGGGACACATATTACATTTTTATGGGAACAGTGAACGAGGCAGTGATTTTGGGTCAGTCACACTCTCTCAGCTCAACCTCATAGGCTTGTTGTGAGGAAAATTGGAGGAACAAGTGCTGCATGTACTACCTTGAGCTCCTTTCTTACCTGTAAGAAAGGAAGATATAAATCCAAGAGTAAAAATGAATAAACTCTGTTTTGGCCTTCAACATAAAAAAGTAGCAGAATTAAGATGGAGGCATTGGTAGACACTTTGTAATACAGTACATATGAGGGCACCCTTCCGATAGCCAGGGGACACCTATAACATTTTTATGGGAACAGTGAATGAGGCAGTCATGCAGAATGGGCAAGACAACATCGTGCAAGGGCTGAGACTACAGATTTCTCTCTTTTGGAGAGCCACTTTTGGAAAGGCATTTACACTTTTACTTATTTTCAGATGGCAAGTCTCCTTTAGGATGTCTACTTCAGATTTTGTAAGTCTCCTACCTCACAATAGGGGAAAGTGCATCAGTAGTTTCTCTTCTGCAGGATTGAAGAGAACAACTATCTGTAATTCTTGTCTCATTAAGTAATGGAATGGCTAAAATCATCATTACTTGTCTGGGATATGTATCTAATATGACAAATTATGCAACATCAGATGGACTACTAATTAAATAAGCTTCATTGGAAATACTAAACTAAACATTTCCCCACATGTATCTCTAAAAACAGGAAACAAGTGGTTTATAGGCCAGGTCTGTTAATTTTCAGTTTTTGTAAGCAACCTAAATATGTCAACAGGACATGGTTCGGAAGACAAGATTCTGCTCTGAATAATTTAAAAATTCTACGTGCGCTATTAAACTGTCTCTGGGTTTTCACTTCTCTCTTTTCCTTTTAATTACTTTTTAAAACTATGCGGTGCTTTAGCTGTAGCCAATTTATGTACAGCAAACAAGAAACTATTTTGGGGTTTCATCAGCTGTTAAGAAGAAACTCATGTGGTATTACCAGGACTTGACCAATCTATTTTGATGCCTAAAGCACAAGACAAGATGGCACTTTTCTTATTAAGCAGAATTAAGCAGTTGGTTCGGGAAACAGATCCTGAGAAGCAGGGAGATGTGGGAAGAAAGAACAGTTCTGCCCTTAATGGGCCACTAGAGGTAACTGTCCTGCACCAGTTTTGAAGTAAGATTCGGTTGTCACTGTTGTTGCTTTGTACATGACATGTGGAGAGGCATCATCTTTAGCTCAGACACTTCAAAATCACTTGAACCAGCATTGGACTCATCCTGTGTGTGCAAGCTTACTGCACTGATGGTTGAATCTTACTATAATACTGGGAAGGAAATAGTATCATTCCTGATATCTGAGGGTAGCCAGAACACTGTGTGACACACACAACTTGGTTCTTCAACAAAGGACATTTGGCAGAGGGTTTTGAGAAATGGCTAGCAAGTTGCCACTGCTGTCTTCCAATATTTACACCTGACATGGTTGTATAACAGCCTTATGGCCAGGCTGATTCCAGACGCTGATATCTCTTAGAGTAACTGAATGAATATTTAGAATATTCATATATTTAGAAAATATTTATCAGCATGGTCCAAATATGGTAACATTTTTTCTCATTCTATAATTTGATAATTTTGACAATATGGTTGCGTTAAACCAAGTGCCCTTATCCAGTTAATATTGAATGGATGGTGACATGGTCTAGCCTTGTTATATTGTTTGTCCTCTGCCCTAACTTTTTAAAGGCTGGATGTGTGCCCCCAATATCAAATGTATTTAAAAAAAAGAATAATGTTCATAGGATATACAGTTTTCTTATGAGTCTCATATAACTCTACTTCCTTATAAGACCCTTCACTGGATACTGGTATTAGAGGTCATGACACAGTACAGGTTCTCCAACATGATGGTCTCTTGATGTAGTGGGCCACACTTTCCAGTATTCCCAGCCTT